TAACCTCTGAATAGTGGGTGACCCAACGGGTCACGGGTGGTCTAGTTCTATCTGTTATTATTGTTTTATAATTCAATTAAGCGACACATTCGTAGCTTACATTAACTGTTTAAACATTAATTGAGGATGACAACTAAAAAGTAGAGTGGACAAATAAGCATCCAATGACATTTTATTTGTTTCTACTGAGAACAAACGACGCAGGCAACAAACTTTCTTGAATTACAGTTCTGACACTCAGCACTAATGTGGGAAAGGACAATGGAGTCATTATCTTTAAGAACATTATTTGGACTAGGTTTTTCGTCCATACACATCATCTCGGCAGGCTGAAAGCCGAACTTGGGAGTCATTATGAAACCTGAATACTCCAGGTCCCAATTTTCAGGACAAGAAGTACGCCCCACGAAGATCTTTGTACCCAAAGAACGTTTCAAAAGACAGGTAGAACATAAAATCCCGTGTACTGTATCAGTATCTGCCTCCTCGCGCAGTACACCTCTAAGGTAGGCAAGCTTTCCTTTTAATATTCTAGAAGTGCTAAAAACACTTGAAAGACATTGGTAGTTTCCTCCACTGGCCATGGATTTAGAGGGCGCACCCGCAGCGAATCCTGTATAAACGAGGTTCGACTGTTCACTGCACGTACTTTTACCCCAGTGAGTGAATGTGGTTCCCGTTCCAGTAGGTTTCTCCCACACTAAATAATACAGAATCGTTAATACAGCAAGCTATGTCATTATGTTATTAAAACAAAAACAATCAAATTCACAATATGTCACGTTAAATCAAACGAAAAATCTGTAGAAAATATGTTAGTAGGTGAAGCCACATGTACAGCTGTTCTTCTGGGCCATTTTAATTATGTAAATACTATTGTTTGTTTGGTTGTTTTATAACTAAGCACAAAGCTACAGAATGGGATATCTGTGCTCTGGCCACCACGGGTATCGAAACCCGGATTTTAGCGTTGTATGTCCACGGACATACCACTGTGCCACTGGGGGGGCTTAACTGCTACTATTTAAATACACAAATACAAGATGGAATAATTGCTTTCTACTACAAAACATGGCACTTGACATCTAATTATTTAAGAATATTTAATAGATACAAATTCATTATCAATAATTAACATACCGTATTTTTCGGTGTATAAAACGCACTTTTTTACCCCAAAATTTGATGTCAAAATCTGCTTGCGTCCTATATACACCGAAGGTATGAATAATATACAATATACGATATACACAAGCCATGTGTAA